ATCTCGCGCGTTGTCAGAGTGGAGTCCTGTCCCTTGAGGGACATGACCGTCTTCCAGTGGGGCATGGTCTGTTCTAGGAAGTCGACCACCACAGGGTTGATGTTGTACATCCTGAGGCACTCGATGATCCATGAATGGGGCACCGAGTCGTATGCCTTCTGGTAGTCGATCCATGCCATCGAGAGATTCTTCTTCCTGGATCTGGCATCATCCATGACCATACGGTTAAGTAAGAGCTGTTCCTTGCAGTGCAGCCGTATGATCCTTTCCGACAACCCTTTTGTTCTTCCGACATGATGTTGTTATCATAGATGTGTCGTCTATATATATATAAATAAAGAGGATTTAATATTATTTTACGATATTGTAGTGCACACACCCCATGATATCTACAGGGTGTCCCACCTATCACGGACGATTTTAATCAAGTATGAAATTCTGCTTAGCATTTATTGTGAAAAATTTTCAGCCAAAAACAAATTCACCAGTTACAAGCTATGAACTTCAACATGACCCCCGTCGATTTCAAGCACTTTTTCCAATCGTGCCTGGTATTCAAGCAGCGTTTTCTGGTGCATTTCAACGGTAATGTCTCCAAACGCAGCGGGAATACGTTCCTCCAGTTCGGGAATGTCCCTCGGTTTGGTCGCATAGACGTACGACTTGAGAAAGCTCCACATGAAGAAGTCGCACGGCGTTAAGTCAGGAGAATAGGCCGGACAGGGCATTGTTGGTGATTCCCCACCCATCCATTGATCCGGAAACTTTTCGTTCAGCCAGACACGAACTTCTTTACCGGAAAAGAGGCAGGCACCATCCTTAATGCCAAAGATAATTTCTGGCCAGAAACTGAATCAAAAGGATTGGCTGATGATCTGGTCTTCATGCAGGATGGTGCCCCGCCTCTTTTCGGTAAAGAGGCAGGGCACCATCCTGGTCATTACCACCAAGGTAAAGAGGTTCGAGGCTGGCTGAACGAAAAATTTCCGGATCGATGGATGGGTCGTGAATCACCAACAATCCCCTAGCCGACATATTCTCCTGACTTAACGCCGTGCGACTTCTTCATGTGGGGCTCTATCAAGTCGAAAGTCTATGCGACCAAACCGAGGGACATTCCCGAACTGAAGGAACGTATTCCCGCTGCGTTTGGAGACATTACCGTTAAAATGCGCCAGAAAACGCTGCTTGAATACCAGGCACGATTGGAAAAAGTGCTTGAAATCGACGAGGGTCATGTTGAAGTTCATACCTTGTAACTGGTGAATTTGTTTTGGCTGAAACTTTGTCACGATAAATGCTAAGCAGACATCTACATATTGTGAAAATTTGGTTTAGTTTGCTCAAGTAGGAAAAATTTCATACTCGATTAAAATCGTCCGCGATAAGTGGGACACCCTGTACATGCACACAATGGAAAAACTTGAGCATAGGACCTGTAGTGTAAACATATTTACTTTGGCCCCAAATTTGAAGCATATCAGAAAATCTCAGAATTTTCAGGAAAAGTTTTTGCCCCATGTCCTTATTTTTAAGCTTCTTTCCTACCCCAAAAGCATGAAATAAGCAAATCGATGTTCATTGGTGAGCTACATGTGAGAATTTCCCATTATTGAATGATTGCGCCTTAAAATTAGATGCTTCTTCATTAATGTGAATTCACATTGACACCATAGTTTAAAATAAAAAAATGAATAATTGAGATCTGTATCCCCCGTGTACAGTCCGTATCGCTTCCTTCGATCATACAAGTAAAACGATATCCTTGATGCTTTTGCCACACCATTTTTACTAATCACGTAAACTCAATGTTTGGATAATGAACGCCGATTTCAATTCAGGCTGTCTTTCTGAAGTTTTTTCTCCTGAGAATTCAGCACATTGAAAATTCGGTTATTTCTTCGTTCCTATGCCATCATCGCTCACGTGGCTCCGTCCAACTCTATGAAGAAACTACAAGACGAGCATAATAGAAAAGGGAATAATATGTTATTAGACCTTTACGATGGACGATGAGATCGAGATGAAACTCACCGTATCAATGTCATGTAACGGAAGTCGAAAAGAGGACCCCTGCTTCAATTTTCGAATATATTTTTCACTTTCTAAACACCACTATCTCAAGCGGATAAGGTCCTTAATGCAGCGCAATGATGTTTCCACACCTACTCGAAACGACAGATAGGGCGAAAGCGGCACGGTCTTTCTTCTAGTCTCATCCCAACCTGATCTCTGTGACTCCCAAGTGTCTTTTATATTATTCATCAGTGAGGAATGACATGAAGGGTCATCGAGGTGGAAGCAGTGGAAGACTCCTCAGGCTTTTTCTCCCGTTGGGATATTTGGGAAAACTCATTGGAGTTCTTCCCATCCAAAACGTTAGAGATATCGGTCGAAATCCGAATTCGGAATTCCGATGGTGTTCGTGGGCGTTTCTCTACAGCGTTTTCTTCACGCCAGCGATCTTGACCTTCTATTACTTGAGTTTTACCATGTCCGACGCCGGCAGGAGTCAGAACCAAAATGACACCGACCACGACATGATGTCACCGCAGATCACTATCGCAGACCAGCTTGCCAGGTATATTCATTTCTGGACCG